GAAGAACTTTTAATAAGATAAGTTATTTTTGTCTCATTTTTATTTATCTATTACTTACAGGTCTACCTGATTATTAAAAGTAAGAAAGTACTTTTTTAATTATACGATAAACATTCTTGCATAATTATCTTATTCTATTAACCTTTCAAATACATTATTTACAGTGGTTAATTATCAAAGGTGAATGAAAAAGGGGAATAACTTCTCTCAGTAGAATACAAATTAATAGAGCCCTGCCCAGGACCAGAATGCTTAGACGAATGGTCCAGATGTTTAAAAATCTGGTAGAAATACGCTTACTCATATCATTTAAACTTTTACTCAGTTTGCTTCCGATATGCCCAGAAGCAGAGAAGAATTTCACAGGTACAATGCATTTTCACTACAGATTCAACAAAGCCTTACCCTAACACCAGAACCCAAGACCAAGGGTCAAGAAATTTACAAATTTGGAAGAGTTGTCCTCATCATCATAACTATGGACTTCAAAATATTAACACTTTTCCACTATATTATCAAAAGCCCCCCCAACCCTCCTCGTTATGCCAGAACCCCTGACCCTAGGACCACAAGATTTTAAAAATTCTGTACGAAGCTCCCATTTTCATCATAGCTAAGCAATTTATTTATCAGCTCAACACTAAGGAGCAGACAGGATTAATTAATGATTAATTAATAGAATTAAAGAGGCTGGGGGTTGTGGTCATTTTTAGACTATATTGATCTCCTTTAGAGGAAGAGCTCCATATGAAGATATAGAAAATGATCAAATTTAAAACTAAAATTTTTGAAATTTTTCTTTGCCAAATGATAGTTGACAGCTTAAGATATCATATCTAAAAAATTAAGTTAAATCTGGTGGTTAATTTGTGGTTAATTTGTTGACCCCCCAGCCTCCTTAATGCTTTTTCACTATATAATCAATAGAGCCCCCCCCCCCCCCCCCCGCCCTCAAGAACCCCAAAAACTGAGGTCATATATTTAAAAATTTTGGAAGAGGCATCCTTGTCTATCATAATCATGCACTTAGTTTGTTTAAATAATCTCCAGTAGCAGAGAAGAAGATTTTCAAGGAATCAATGCATTTTCACTATATAATCAATAGAGCCCCGCCCTTACACCAGAACCCCTGACCCTGGGGCCATGAAATTCACAATTTTGGAAGAGGTATCCTTAAGCATCATAACCAAGCACTTAGTTTGTTTAAATAATCTCCAGTAGCAGAGAAGAAGATTTTCAAAGAATCAATGCATTTTCACTATATAATCAATAGAGCCCTGCCCTAACACCAGAACCCCTGACCCTGGGGCTATGAAATTCACAATTTTTGAAAAGGCATCCTTATGCATCATAACCAAGCACTTAGTTTGTTTAAATAATACCCAGGAGCAAAGAAGAAGATTTTCAAAGAATTAAAGCATTTTCACTATATAATTAATAGATCCCCGCCCTAACACCAGAACCCTTGACCCTGGGGCCATGGCTTTCACAATTCTGGAAGAGGCCCACCTCCTCATCATAACTATGTACTTAGTTTATCACCTTAATGCCCAGGAGCAGAGGAGAAGATTTTCAAAGAATTAATGCATTTTCACTATATAGTCGATAGAGCCCCGCCCTATCACTAGAACCCCTGACCCTGGGGCCATGAAATTCACAATTTTGGAAGAGGTTCTCTTGCTCATCATAACTATGTACTTGGTTACTTTATTAAATATCCAGAAGCAGAGAAGAAGATTTTCAAAGAATTAATGCATTTTCACTATATAGTCGATAGAGCCCCGCCCTAACACCAGAACCCCTGACCCTGGGGCCATGGCTTTCACAATTCTGGAAGAGGCCCACCTCCTCATCATAACTATGTACTTACTGTAGATTCCTAAATATACGCGAGGAATTAATTATCGCGTAATTACGCGAGAAGCACCGCTCGCGAAATAAAATTACTCGCTTTTATTTTCATGACGCTTTAATATATGTAAAATCTCTAGATAGATCACCCATTCGCGAATTATTTTTCTCGCGATTTGACGCCCTTGTGCCATTTCGCGATATTAAGTACTCGCGTAAAATAAGGAATCTACAGTAGTTTATCACCTTAATGCCCAGGAGCAGAGGAGAAGATTTTCAAAGAATTAATGCATTTTCACTATATAGTCAATAGAGCCCCGCCCTATCACTAGAACCCCTGACCCTGGGGCCATGAAATTCACAATTTTGAAAGAGGTTCTCTTGCTCATCATAACTATGTACTTAGTTACTTTATTAAATATCCAGAAGCAGAGAAGAAGATTTTCAAAGAATCAATGCATTTTCACTATATAATCAATCGAGCCCCGCCCTAACACCAGAACCCCTGACCCTGGGGCCATGAATTTCACAATTTTGGAAGAGGCACTCTTGGTCATCATAACTATGTACTTAGTAACTTTATTTAATATCCAGGAGCAGAGAAGAAGATTTTCAAAGAAATAATGCACTTTCACTATATGATCTATATAAAGCCCCACCCTGGGGCCAGAACCCCTGACCCTGGGGCCATGAATTTCACAATTTTGGTAGAGGGCTCAATGCTTATTACAATGATGCCAACAGTTTGACCGCTTGATGTCCAGGAGTAAAGAAGATTTTTAAAGATTGCATTATTTTTGGTGGTTTTAGCCCCACCCCTCAGCCCTTAGGGGGGCACGGACCATGAAATTCACAATTTTTGTTCCCCTTCACCCACAGATGCTATATACCAAATTTGGTTGAAATAGGTTGAGCGGTTCTAGAGAAGAAGTTAAAAATGTTCAAAAGTTAACGCACGACGGACGATGCACGACGACGGACGAAAACAGATAGCAATAGGTCACCTGAGTGACTCAGGTGTCCTAAAAAATCTATAAACAATATAATTCTGAGCTCGAACTGGGTATAAAACACGGACCCTTGAACATTCCAGAGGTGGGATCAGGTGCCTAGGGAGACCATGTTAAACTAGGTTGTTGAAATTGCTGCAACATCAACTTATCTGTCAGTAGTCTGCCTCGGTTTAAAAACTGATTGTATTCGGAGCATATTCTTGATCATGAGTATCAACTAAGCTGGGAGATGGAAACACCATATGCAGGTGATAGCGGAATTTTATTTCATGAAAGTTGACGATGGAGAAGCTGAAACCATCTCGTTTGTCATACATACTAGTTGTTAGTTGGCTCTAATCGTCTATAGTCAGTAAAACACCCAAATATGAAACAGATGTGGCAGACTGTGGTGTCTTTCATTTCAAGATTACTGGAATATATCAAGTTGACATATGAATGGAAGTATTTTTGTTCATTGATAATGCGTTGTCGATATGTCTAAATGTCGAATTGAAGGCCACCACTGCAAGTGTTTTCTTATGGAGAGGACTTATATAGGCAGTGCCTGCTGTCCAATCCTATTATGATTATGCATAATAAAATATTGTTTGAATACATTAAATTAAAGTGTTTTCTTCTCGTGTAGAAGTTTCTGAATAAATTCTGCCTCATATGAATATAAAAACAGGTCTACTGATAAAGGAGAACAATTATTGTCTATCAGGATTCCAACAGTTTGTTAGAAGAGCTGGTCTCCGAGGACCACATAAATGTTGTCAATGAGGAACTCTAGCATCCTTTTAATAACAACTTCAGAGTACTTCTATGTAGAATCAAAATGAATGTTAACGAAGTAATTTTGCTGAAGACCAGTCACAAGAAACGAACATTTTTATCTACCGTTCTGCAAATGCACGAATCGAGTAACTTGCTTCTGGAATTTCCAAGATATTCTTTGAAGTTTACAACCGTTCCTTGGTCGAAGTAGATGTCTTTGAAATCAAAATGCCAAGTTTTTAATTTATCGTGAAGAATGGTTGTATAAATAGAAAAGTCATAAGTTTTGATGTTACTGACTTTTGAAAAATTTGGTGATTTTAAATTTTTAAAAAGTTCTTTGGAGTTTTGCTATCCTCCTTGGAAAACATTCCATGTTTTTGGCAATGCATTTGAAAATGTGGTATAAAATTAACCAATCAGTTTCTTTGTTGGAATTCGCAATCAATAGTATTTCAGTCAGATTCATTTGTATTTTGGGCAGATTCAAAAGTGTCGTCACTCAACGCATCACTATTTTGATCATAGTGTATACTTTCAAGCAAAATTTTGCGATAATGCTTTCATTTCTTACAACAAAATTTCCTTTGAAAGTCTTGCAGCTACCACATGTAGATACAAGGTTTGGTTTGTGAAATTGTGATGTTCTTGAATTTCGCAGAAAACTTGTGTATTTGAGTTCTTCATGTGAGCACATAGCTGCAATAATGTAGCCATCTGCAATTTACAATGTATTTTTATTCTGGTGTCTTCAGGAGAGAAAATGGAGAGGAGGTGGGCTACAATATAGCAGGTAATAAGCACACTCCTAAATTCTAAAAATAAACATGTTTTTATCTTCAGAAACAATTCTATTATTATATTATTTCACATTTTGGATTAGAGGTTGTGCTCTACCTGAAATGTTGAATAACCGCTTAAACTTTTGGCTTCTTTCAAAAATTTCAATATAAGGGAATAATGATGTATTTCATGTCATCATAATGCATTGACTAGAAAGAAAATTAATAAGTAATTTTCGATAGACATTCATTCCTGATATCCTGTTTCCTGATAAATTGTTCACAGTGTGTCAATATATAGTATAGCTTTTACAACTTTTTTGTACTGTTACTAACTTAAATGTTATATCATGATTCATTTTCGCCTGCACAAATTAAGTTTCACATATAGTTATTGAAAATACAAATACATTTTTTCGAAAGTAAGTGATTTTCTTGGGTTTTAGTCATATGACCTCCAAGGTTATGCCACAACTTTTAGCATCAAAGATATCTGCCTATGAAAAGCTTTAACTAGCAAAATAAACCATGAAGATGGCATTAGGCAATTAGGGATGTGCCTCTTTTTTTCCAACATGGAATATAAAAGACAGCATTTTATCAGTACTTTCAGTACTTTATTGTGTGTCATAAGACAAATTTTGGTCTCAAGTTTCAAAACAGAGAACTCAAAGCAATACAAAAATGTTTCTTACACATGATTTTAAAATTATAGAATATGAATAATTCATATAAAATTTATCACAACTTTCTTTGTCTTCAACATGTTCGAAAATCAACCCAGTCTGTTTGATGTTTCTCATTATAACAACATGCTTAACCAAGCAAAAATGAGAGCAAATCCTCCATAGGGTGTAATGTATCGGATTTTTGTATTTCCTGTTAAAGCATGGACATAACAACTACCGGAAAACAGGATGATCCCCAGGGTCAACAAACTGCCAGTCTACAACAGAAGGAATAGGATTAATGAATAAAGATGGACATACATGTAACAACTGCTAGAAATCAGGATGATACCCACAGTCAAATTATCATACCGGGGTACATGTATATTATCTTGCAGGAACATAGTAACTGTTACCTTTAAAGTAAAGAATGCTTAATTTCTACATAATTTTTTTTTCAAAGATCATTTACAATTTATTTCAATTGTGGATTTCCTTCTATTCATACTCTCACTATCTCCTTGGGTGAGTTTTTACTGTACATTTGTAATCACTCATTAAGATTGAAACTAGCACCTGTGTCTGACTGTCATTAATCCCAGATTTTGAAATATACATCTACTGAAATTTTTGCAATTGTTATTTTTGCAGATTTGTCCTATACACAAAATTCCACAAAAATGGACATCCAATGAAAATACCCATTATTTAAATATGTAACCAGTACTTACCAGGTATGGTCTGTTACACAGAGGAGAGCACACTAGGGCTGCAGAATGCACCAAATGCATTTTGCTCCCAGTATCAAAAATCTAAAGCAAAAGACAGGAAATATGAGAAATCAAAAGTTACTCAATGTTTTTAACAATGTATTTGTAATTCAAACCCTAGCTGCCAAGAAAATGTATAAGTGATCTGACCCTAATTTCCTTAATAGCAGGTTATTTCATATTATTTAGAATATTTTCCTTGAAAACTAAGATTGAACTTTGTGAATTGATGCAGTTATACAAGCCTTAACAATACAAGAGAAAATAAATTATAGATCATTAACCACAAACTGTAAAGCATGTTTCAAAAGCATACAGAAAATAATTGAACATTTTCTTTTTAAAATCAGTAACCTTAGTTTAATTTCCTGGTACTTACCTTTTTCAATTGCTCTCCCTTTTCATCTTCAACTTTAAAGGCTATGAAAAATAAAATATTTGAAAACTAGTCAATCGCCAACTCACAGACAAACATGTAACCTCATTTGTGCTCATTAATAAACCTGGTTAAGTAGATGGCATGTAGAATTCACTACAACATTATGCACAGATGTAAAAGGGTGTTGAAGGTAAGGGTGACTAGGGCTGTGCAATAATACCAATATTCCTGTATACTGAGGTACAATGACAAAAAATATCATATTGCAATACATTTTTGTAGTACCTATATACTGGCAAAATGCTTAGACTCATATTTTTGTTATAAAAAATAAAGTATTAGTCGTCAAAATCGTTTGCGATTGTGCCAAACAGTATAATAGCAAAAGCTGTTGAAGGGGGTGTATTTCGATGCACGACTGAAATTAAATCAACAAAATATTTTTGCCATTTATCATAGTTATTTACATTCTGCATCATAGTGCATGTATTACTAAATGGAAGTTAATAGAATAAGAAAATACCATTTTAATTCTTGTTGAAAATATTGCAATACATATCACAATACAGTTAGAAATATTGCAATATATCGCAATACGAAATCTCTAGGCAATACCCAGCCCTAGTTGTGACCCTACTTAGAATTTTCATAATTATTAAATTTCTATTTTTCTACCTTGGTCCCCCTAAGAAACATGGATCCCCCTTAAAATTACAAGGAGAGATGCATCTGAAGAAAACTGACTTAGGAAAGTGATGTTCATATTTTTTTTTTTTTTTTTTTTTTTTTTTGCTTGCCCAAAAATTCCTGAGTTTGACATTTATTAGAGTTGATGTAGACTCCCTCAACCCTACGAAAAAATTCCTGGATCCATGCCTGTACACAAATACTTTATCAGAAATGAGTCGAATGCAAACAATGATTAAATCCATCATTTGCATTATTGACGATCCTTACCTTATGTTAATCAATATAAAAAAATTATGCAGAATTAAATTTTGGCAGGTTTGTTAATGTTGAAAAACTTATTGCTTTAAAGCTGGTGTTGAAAACTCGTGCACAGGATTTAAGTATGTTAGGAGGTTGAATTGCCAATTGTGGTTTCATTCCGAACTAGAGTAAATACATTATACAGCTGTTATAATTCTTTCTAAAAACATATTTTGATTGAATAAACCACTTCAGCAAATTCATCATACACAATACCCTAATATTCACAATTTTCATGGTGAAATTCAATGCCTGTTATCAGGGACCTGTATACTATATATAGGTCCCTGCTTTTAATATGCACACAACACTCACAAATAGTAAGTATGCATGATGGTATGAACATGACGACGTAATGCCGTTAAAGCAAATGATTTTCTTTATGAGTTGGATAGTAAAAAATACCATGAGCTCCATACGCAGCCATTGATACTGCCACGGCACCGGACAGTCCACCGATTCTCAGGAAAAACCTTGATCCGTGCAGGGCCATGACTTCCTTTGCTTTAGACGTGACTTCCTGTCTCACCTCGCCTGCAGCCTTTTCCACCTCTTTTCTGGGATAACCTAGCTGTGTTACGGCTTTATCAAGGTAGAACAGACCCAAGTTCAAGATCTCTGTCATGTTGTTACATTATAATCGTCTTGACCTTAGAAATCTCCAATTATTGCAACATGGGGATTTTGTACTTTCCCTTTCGGAACCTGTATGTCGAGCCCGATCTAAATCTTATTAGTTTAAAAATAATAAGGGTACAATTTTAGTTACACTCCACGTAACCAGTTTTGTTTTGTTTGAGGGTTTATCAAAAGACATTAAAGATTTATTTTTCTTGTGAAAGCACTAAGAACTATGACAAAAGTTGTTTAAAAAAAGAATTACATGAAAATTAATACCCCGGCCCCATCCCCGAAAAATCCATTCACTGGCCTGAGATACCCATAAATATATCCCTGTTTATACAAACCATACAACCACCAGGGCCAGGATTTAAACAATAAAATTCAAAGTACATGTAGTACCTAAAAATATGCCTGAAAATAATTTTAATTCTTTTTTTTTCCCCACCCCTCCCAAAAAGATTACCGATTGTAAGCAAGCAAACTGTAAAGGTGACATAAGAACATTGTAATTTAGGATAAATTTAATTTGTTCAAATCGTGGTGTACGTGACATGTACAGGGATGGAGCTGTAATATAAGCATAAATGTAAAAGGTCCATTATAATGAAAATTTAAATAAATTATTTTAAAAACAACAAGAACCAGAGAATATGCATGACACGGGCTGATCCGCGGATGCGGGTGACTTTATGTTTTCCGTCTTCAGTCTAAACTATTTTCGATTCTGGAATTCTGATAGTATAGGTGGTTTTCTTATAATGTGCGTATCCTACACTATTTACATAAGTTTTAGAAGAGAGCACATTACATACAGGGAGGATGAGAGAAAGAAAACTTCAGGTAACTGTGTTAATGTAACTGTGTTAATGTTTAATCATTATTTAAAATTTTAGGGTCAAGACTTCCTTCACGTACCAACCCAACCCACCCATACATGCCAACTTTTGAAAATCCCCATTGGAGATTTTGCGCGTAACAATTTCAAAGCTTTAAATTACATTTTGTCGTAAATATAAATGTTTATCCCATGGCTTTTCTTTTATTAATAACATTAATATCATTTAATAAAACAGCATCAATATTTAAGTGTTTTATTCCCTATCAATAAGAATATGAAAAAAAAGATTAATTTTATCACCAGAAAAATATTAAAGAAATAAATTTACTCTTAAGATAATCAATTATTTAACACAAGGATACCCCTGCCTCAAAAAAAAAAAAAAAAAAAAAAAAAAATCGTTAAATTTTGTAACGTCTTTAGGGGGTTCGTAGTCCACCCCCTACATATTACATGGTGACATTACCCACTATAATATAACAATATAAAGCTGAAATCTCCCCCATACATTACATAATAGAGTATAAAGTCCTATAATATTACAATAATATAAAAAACACCCCATTCAAATATGTACCAAGAATAGAATGATTTTAACTAGTTATACACTGTACATCAAATGAGGTGAAAATACATCACATATTTTAGCTCACCTGGGCTGAAGGGTCAAGTGAGGTGTTCTTATAAGAATTTGTCCAATGTCTGTCATCGTTGCTGTTGTCAACATTGTTGTCATCGTTAACTACATTTTCATCTCTTTCTCTAGAACCACAAAATTAATTTCAACCAAACTTGGCAAATCTAGTATCCTTAAGTGATGTGAACTCAAGTTTTATTCAAATGAAGGGCCACACCTTCTTCCATGGGATGATAATTAAGAAAAAAGGTGATAATTGGGTGGGTCACTTAAAAATCTTCTTAAAAATCACTTGGCCAGAAAATATGAAACTTATTTGAACGCTGTATTACCTAGTGTAATAGGCTTTTTATTCTGTGAGTTTCTTATTATTAAATTTGCAAAGATCTGTCATTTAAATGTCTGAAACTGCCTTAATAATAATATATTTATAAAAGTCCTACTTTTAGCCCAAAAAATCTCTTAATTTTGTCCTAAATACTACTTTAAAAAAGAGCCCCTGATCCATAGGCCATGCATTTTGGAAGAGACATCCATCCTTGCTCATTATATCCATATACTTAGTTTATCTGCTAAATATCCAGGAGCAGAGAAGATTTTTTAAAGAAATAATGCAATTTTATTATATGATCAATAGAGCCTCCACACCCCCTTCAACACCAGAACCCTTGACCAGGGGTCATGAATTTCACAATTTTGGAAGACAATCCTTTCTCATCTTAAGTATGCACTTAGTTTATCTGCTAAACAAACAGGAGTAGGGAAGAATGTATGCATTTTAATTATATGATTAAAAGAGGCCCACATTAACTGCAGAACCCCTGACCCAAAGGCCTTGGAGTTTACAATATTGGTTGAGGGCTCAATGCTTGTTACAATTATCGTAACAGATTGACTGCTTGGTGCCCAGGAGAAGATTTTTAAAGATTGCATCAATTTTGATGGTTTTAGCCCCATCCCTCAGCTTCAAGGTGGTGGGGATCATGAAATTGACAATTTTTGTTCCCCTTCACCCATAGATGTTATATCACAAAATTGGTTCAGTGATTCCAGAGAAGAATCTAAAAACGTTCAAATCTTAATACACAACACATACACTAAATGACGATAGACAAAACAGATAGCAATAGGTCACCTGAATGACTCGGGTGACCTATAATTAAATAAATAAATAAAACTATATATCTAGTATATGGTCTACATATCTGTTTTCATTTTTATGGGGGAGGGAGTACCTGGAAGGGGGGTCATCTTAGATAAAAATGAATTTTCATCCACAATTTTACAATTAAATTTGATCCTATAAATGCACAATATGTTAAAATGACTTGTAGTTTATATTCATCAAGAATAAAACAATAAAGATGGAAAAGGCTGAAAATGCTATTTTTAGTGCTGGATTTAATTGCATGTAAATCTGATACGGTACCAATTTTTATGCACTAGATGCGCATTTCGACAATTTATGTCTCGTAAGTATGCTCATGCCAAAACGTTGAAAATCCGAAATATTTAAATAATGAAAAACTTTGAAGAGCTGAAAAAAGGGCGCGAAAGACTGGAGCCAAATACGTCGAAGGATCAGAGCTATGCATGAGGGAGATAATCCTTAATTTTGAAATAAATTTCTAAAATTTACCACAGCAATTAAATATATCTGCATTTTAAAAAAAACAGTTAAAATGATCTTTTCTTGTTTTATTAACCTCCATTTATAAGAAGAGCAGATAAAGCTGTTATAAATACGTTGTAACAAGATTTGACAACAGTTTTGCAACAAATGTATAGCTGTGCCCCCCCCCCCCCCCCCAACTGAAATTGCTTCCTACGGGCCTGAAATGCAACCACAAAACAGCAACCTTACTGTTTGGAACGATTGAAAACGTTAACTTCTGACATCGTAAATTTTTTTAAGAAATCAGAAGTCCAAGCATTTTGGTGGTATATCGGTCTTAGAAAAGTATCTCAATACGACATTTTTGTGTCGCCTGCAGAGCAGAGCTGCACTTAGGGATCAATTTACCCGGTCTGTCTGTCCGTCTGTCACACACTCGAGAACTGTAAGGGATTTGATCTTTTGCACATATTCAATAAATATTGCTTGGTATGGCTTTTGTAAATTATCATGGTTGTTGACCTCGTGACCCTTGTCCTTTGACCTACTTTTCAAGAATAGATCATAGTGCCGATATACGGAATATTTTTGACATTTAAGAGGTAAGTCTATGTTATTTAGCATACAAGTGCACTGTTTGTCATAAGATATTATGAAAAATACTAGCACTACAATCCACTCAAATGGATCATGTAGAATGACAATTGCAGTAAAGGCAAACTGAAATCACTTTTGGGGGATTGTTGAAAACACGTTTAGCTTATGATACAGTGCTTTGAAACTGTATCATATTCGCTTACCTTATTTACTTACATGTATATTTAAATACTATGAAAATACATCGGAATTGGTATTCCACGTGGATCATGTAGACTGACAAATGCAGTAAAGACGGACAGAAATCTCTTTTGAGGATTGTTGGAAACACGTATTAATAAATGATAGATACTTGTAGTTATTTCTAATAATTTCTATTTAATTATTTGTTTGAGGGTACGGGAACAACATTTTCTTGTCAGTTCTATTGCAGTCTTATACTAATCCATGGATGCCATTTTTTCTTTGCAGGCGAATGCATAATAAACTATCATGCTAATAGTAAAATATACATGTAGCTGACCACTATAAGAATTATTTACATCTTTAAGGAAACTACAAAGCAGGCGACACATGTGTTCCTTGGAACATTCTAGTTTGTCAACGAATCGCAATACATCGGTATATATTTTAGTTTCTTTACTGGAAAGGTTTGCAAAAAAGGAAAAACAAAACACAGCCTCAAACACACAAAAACATCAACAACAAAAAACAATAACATAAAGGATGTTAAGGGGGTATGGAGTAATGAAACTTCTGAAGGACTAGCCGATTACCTCCATATGCATTAATTTAAATTCTAACAAGGGATCCGTGTTACCTTGGAGGGTACTATTTCATTTACTACATATATGTAAGGAGATCCATCTCCCACGCTCGATCCTCTTCTGAACAAAAGAAGTAAAAAGGCAGCCGTCATGAGAAAAGAGTCTAAAGTATGGAGGGTAATCGTGTTCAAATATCCAGTCTTGTAAGTTTGCAAATTCGAATTTGCAATCGCAGTAGGTTCATGGTCTACATATGTACGTAGGTAATTCCGATTAATTTTAGCATGTAGTTCCGAACATACAACTTCAGAATTTACTGTAATTTTGCCCTACTTGTATCATACTTGTACACCTCGTCTACTTGTAGTAAACATTTTACTTGCATGTGTTGTAAATTATCCTTTCATCACTCTACATGTTTTCTGCTATCTATAGTGCCGAGCTCTTTAAACAAAACGCAAAGACAATTCACAAGTCTAAAAATGTAAAGTCTAGACGTGTGTCTTTTGATAATGAGAAAGTATATATGGAGGAGTATCAGTACCACATTTTTAATGTTTTATTTTCTAGCTGTATTCTAACTTCTTGTTTTTCCAAACATCAATACCCCCTAAAACGTTGTCACGAACCCGTGAC